GGCATTCCGATTAGTAGAAATTAGACGATAATATGATTAACAAAATCGATAATGGAATTACATGTTCTATTCGCAGCATATGGAAAATGAGGAAGCAGGGCGAAATGCCATACAGAATCTGAATGGACATATGGTCCATGGGCAACCGATAAAATGTGAGGCCGCAAAGAGTCGTAAGGGTCCAAACACTCCTACGACAAAGATCTTTGTCGGTAATCTCACAGATAACACGAAAGCGCCGCAAGTACGCGAACTGTTTGCCAAGTATGGCACAGTCGTTGAATGCGACATTGTGAGGAATTACGGTTTCGTCCATCTTGAAGCGACGGGAGACGTGAATGACGCCATCAAGGAGCTGAACGGGCAGATCGTAGACGGGCAGCCGATGAAAGTGCAGATATCTACCAGCCGGGTGCGACAGAGGCCAGGAATGGGTGATCCGGAACAATGCTATCGATGCGGACGAGGCGGTCACTGGTCCAAGGAGTGTCCCAAGGGAGGTATGGGAGGTGGACCAGACAGAAATGGATACAGAGATCGAATGTTCGGGCGTGATCCGTATCCTCCACCGCCACCACCACCTTTCCTTCGGGACCGTCTCATGGGTGGTGGCCGCTTTGGAGTAAGTTTCCTTTCTCGTCAAATTTTACATAATTATCGTTGTGTATTATATTCGCATTTATTTTATTGATATTTTCGTTTGCAAAATAGATAATAGATAATAGATAATATGAGTGAGTTGTACTCAGGATACGAGGTATTAATCCGTTTATTAATTTCTTGGATTTTGCCTGTTAACAGGACTACGAAAGCTACTACGACCGGCGCGGCTTCGAGGACACCAGGGATCTCTACGAGAGGCGGTTTACGGGTATGACAGGGCCCTGTGACATGGGAAGTTCCATGTGCGGGCTAGACTTTCCACCAATGCCTCTACCATCAAGACGAGACCCAATGCCTCCTATGCCTCCTCTAGGTATGGGATCCATGCGCGACACTGGCTTCTCCCGTGGTAACGAGTATGGCATGTTCAGCCGCCGATCACCCCCTCCAAGTGGCAACAACGGCCGGTTCAGGTGAGTAGGTATCCGGCCTATCGACTGCCCATTCGTCCGACTTAACATTGTGAACGTTCCAGGCTGGATTAACAGCTCATGCGAATTGGGGTTCGGTGATTCGTCGACATTTTTTTCTAATCTGTCGTATTCTTTCTCTTGTCATATATATTTCGACTTTATCTCCTTAGTCTGTCTCTCCTTATTTCTTTTTTGTCCCATGTAGTAACGAATGTTAATTCTGGATAGGCGATCGCGAGATTTGCAATGTTCCACAATGTTCCTACCTTGTTACATAAACCTCTACATTTTTCGCCCTTTTTCTTTAAAATGTATAAACTTTCTTTTATATCTCTTCTTTTTGTCTTACTTTTTTACCGTAAGACGTGGAAACGAAACTTCTTCTCTCCGACAATATTATTGCGCGACACAACGCATGACTCGTTATCGTCTATGCAAGATATTACTTTCTCATACTTGAGATTTTAAGACTTTTAGTATTTTTTACACACGTACGAGTGTCGACCTGACGCCCACACGAGTGCAGACTCCATCGTAGTGAAATGTTAATTATATGACGCTTGGACGTTTCTGTACATTCTAAATTTCAGTGCACCTCAGGCGTACCATCTTTGTCCATGAACGCGGGCAACCCTAGAGAGACAGTCCCGGGTCAGCGTTCAAGTCGTACAAGAGTAAGTCTTTGACTCATTTTGTTAGCGAGTAGTCATGCCTCGTTCTTGTCGCTGTAACAACAAACGATCACGTCAGAAATATATAGCAGTCGCTTATACGTCGTCTGCATCCCATGGTGGTTCGAAACTTTTCGAGTCTCGACTGATGGTGCCTTGAACATGTCGACTGCTCTTCTAGGGATGTCCTAGTTCATAGACTCTCTTGTTCCATGGCATTAACTGCGAGATTGGCCTGTATGTCTCTCACTGAACATCCTTTGTGTTTCAAGCGCTCCCTATTACGTACATCACTCAGCCGGGAGTGGCGCGGAGGCCTGGGATGAAGAAACGTTCCTAAGGAATGCGAACTAGAATTTCTTGATTGCACTACCGCGAACCAGGATGCGATCTGCAATTTTAAACCAAACTATCATACGCTGTAGATAGAAAGAAAAAGAAACAGGGCTGACGCGATTTTGGAATGGCACATCGAATCGATTGTCTTTGAAACGTGTCGTAAGTAGAAACCAGCTCTCCAGACGATTTGGATCAGTAAGTTTATACACATATCGGCATCTCCCGTAATCTTTTCAAGTCAGTTCCGCAAGCTTACGACAAATTTATAAAGTATCGATTCTCATTTTGTTGAGTACTTTCATGCGAAAAGATTATTTCTTTTATTGACTTAGATCGCGTGCTGATTGCTCTATGGTAATAAAATGTTATAACGAATTCGCAAAGATGTGATGTTAGCAAACTATTTTTAAATCAAATAAATTTCTTTCTATCTCTTTCTTGTTTTTTTTTCTTCTTTTTTTTTTTTCTTTTTTTTTTTTTTCTTTTTTTTTCTTTTATATAAAATGATAAAAAGTTGTGTGTTTTTTGTCCTCGTGCGGTACAATCGGTTTCCCGTAATCGTAACTCTAGTTTTCTATCTTAAACTATACAACGATCTTTTTTTTATTTTGTTATTTTATAGTCGCGTCTCTTACATTAAATAAAGGAGCAAAATTCTCATCTGTATTATGGATCGAAATTGTGTGAGTGAGTCATCGATTTAAATTGTGTTTCGAGTGTCGTAGTATTTCTAAAATTGCCACATATTCGATCGAAGAGAAATTCCACATGAAGGGTAACGAGAGTGTGTCGCGAAGATATTCCGATTTCGTCCTCCGTGCTCCTCGAAATTACAATCCATAGTTCTTGAAGCTGACTTCTACTCACGAGGTTCAAAGCTTTTCATATATGTAAATCCATTCGCAACGTTCAAATAGAAAACAGAATTGAGATTGAATTTCTCAGTTTTTCTAAGTACTTTGAATTTGTTGTTGCACGTTACCACCTTATTACCCTCTATGATCCCAGCCTGGGCTGCAAATGGCTCTTATTTGTTATAATAATACATTCTTGTTGTTTTTGCAAAGTTGTAATTTGCAAGTCGCATGGGTTAAAAATCCAGTCTATCGCTGTCTGCCTCATATGACTCTATCCCACATTTTATCCATATTAGCCCTTCCTTTTAAGTTGGTAAAATTTCTCGAACTATCAATCAAGCCAACGATTTATAGATAGCAGATAGCGAATTACTATAATTACTTGTCCTTCACTTTCGCAGATTTTGTAACTTCAAGCATCTTGCATTTTTGTATTCTAGTCTCTAGAAACAATTTCTAATCGTAGACCATCAGACTTCTCGATCTTCTAATGATTTCTTTATGAAATTCAAAATTTCCCTTTTACACGCACACACATACACTAACCAGATGTGCGCGTGTATGTCAATGTAATAGAGGAATAGGAAATATTTCATGACAGATTTACTAACATAATGTGTAGAGTTCTTCGACATTCCGTCCCGATCCAAAGTCATATCAGGCGAGGCACGCAACTCTTTCCTTTGCACGTGAGAATACATATTTATATGTATATATATACAGGGACTAATTCACAAAGTTAAGCCTTGGACAAGGGAGCCAATATATGGTATATCTTGATCTGATCTCATTGGTAGATTCGATTATTTATTATACCGCTGTTATAGTAGAGGCATGTACGAGGACTTCAGCCGAGATTCGTTTGAAGAGCGTAGGTAAGTAGAGTGAAGTACCATTGGGTTACAATATTACGCTTGAATTGAAATCCCGTTTCTCATAAACCGCGATATAGATCTAATAATAAGCCGCCCTCTTCTTTATGTTACGATCATGCCAAGGCAGTGCCTTTGTCTATTTCTGACTTAAAAAAATACCTGACTGACCCGCCACTATTATTCTATTTGATATATCGCCATTAGTGGTAGGAAAAATTTGTATAGGATATATCACTTTATTAGAATTGTCGAAAACTCTGGAATTTTATTCTAGAAATGTTGCTTTGTTCCATTAGAACAAAGTAACAAATAAAGAATATTTCTTGATAATGCGGTCTTTCATAAAGAAGAGTGCTGGAAAGATGAAGAAAAAATATTTAACCCGTGCAAACATTCTTATTATCGCAAAACGAAAGAATTAGTAAAAAGGTTAGCGAGAAAAACGAGGTACTTTTCGAGCTGTTGTATATCCATTTCCCATTTTTCTTTTTATCTTTTTTTTATTTTGTTATTTTATAGTCGCGTCTCTTACATTAAATAAAGGAGCAAAATTCTCATCTGTATTATGGATCGAAATTGTGTGAGTGAGTCATCGATTTAAATTGTGTTTCGAGTGTCGTAGTATTTCTAAAATTGCCACATATTCGATCGAAGAGAAATTCCACATGAAGGGTAACGAGAGTGTGTCGCGAAGATATTCCGATTTCGTCCTCCGTGCTCCTCGAAATTACAATCCATAGTTCTTGAAGCTGACTTCTACTCACGAGGTTCAAAGCTTTTCATATATGTAAATCCATTCGCAACGTTCAAATAGAAAACAGAATTGAGATTGAATTTCTCAGTTTTTCTAAGTACTTTGAATTTGTTGTTGCACGTTACCACCTTATTACCCTCTATGATCCCAGCCTGGGCTGCAAATGGCTCTTATTTGTTATAATAATACATTCTTGTTGTTTTTGCAAAGTTGTAATTTGCAAGTCGCATGGGTTAAAAATCCAGTCTATCGCTGTCTGCCTCATATGACTCTATCCCACATTTTATCCATATTAGCCCTTCCTTTTAAGTTGGTAAAATTTCTCGAACTATCAATCAAGCCAACGATTTATAGATAGCAGATAGCGAATTACTATAATTGCTTGTCCTTCACTTTCGCAGATTTTGTAACTTCAAGCATCTTGCATTTTTGTATTCTAGTCTCTAGAAACAATTTCTAATCGTAGACCATCAGACTTCTCGATCTTCTAATGATTTCTTTATGAAATTCAAAATTTCCCTTTTACACGCACACACATACACTAACCAGATGTGCGCGTGTATGTCAATGTAATAGAGGAATAGGAAATATTTCATGACAGATTTACTAACATAATGTGTAGAGTTCTTCGACATTCCGTCCCGATCCAAAGTCATATCAGGCGAGGCACGCAACTCTTTCCTTTGCACGTGAGAATACATATTTATATGTATATATATACAGGGACTAATTCACAAAGTTAAGCCTTGGACAAGGGAGCCAATATATGGTATATCTTGATCTGATCTCATTGGTAGATTCGATTATTTATTATACCGCTGTTATAGTAGAGGCATGTACGAGGACTTCAGCCGAGATTCGTTTGAAGAGCGTAGGTAAGTAGAGTGAAGTACCATTGGGTTACAATATTACGCTTGAATTGAAATCCCGTTTCTCATAAACCGCGATATAGATCTAATAATAAGCCGCCCTCTTCTTTATGTTACGATCATGCCAAGGCAGTGCCTTTGTCTATTTCTGACTTAAAAAAATACCTGACTGACCCGCCACTATTATTCTATTTGATATATCGCCATTAGTGGTAGGAAAAATTTGTATAGGATATATCACTTTATTAGAATTGTCGAAAACTCTGGAATTTTATTCTAGAAATGTTGCTTTGTTCCATTAGAACAAAGTAACAAATAAAGAATATTTCTTGATAATGCGGTCTTTCATAAAGAAGAGTGCTGGAAAGATGAAGAAAAAATATTTAACCCGTGCAAACATTCTTATTATCGCAAAACGAAAGAATTAGTAAAAAGGTTAGCGAGAAAAACGAGGTACTTTTCGAGCTGTTGTATATCCATTTCCCATTTTTCTTTTTTTTTTTTTTCTCCCACTTTTTATTTTTTATTTTTCTATTTTTTTATTTCATTTTATTTTTCTTTTTTTTTTTTTTAATCATACTGTTTATTTTGTAATTTTTCACTCTACATACATAATGTTACGCTCTGTTATATTTCTCTATCTCTCTATCTCTCTCTTCTGTTTTCTCTCGTACCACGCAAATATATTACAGCCTTTTACATTTTCAATCTATATTTGTCCGTGCTTTAACCCGTATCATCGATCTCGTGTGACTGACGTGGCTTAATTTTGATTACCAGACCGGGATTACGAGGGCCATCGCCGTCGCGCCGGTTCGCACCATACTAAATCGTCGCGTCGGGCTCGGATCGGTCTCTGTCGGTCGCCGTCGGTCCGTCGGGTCTGTCTGTCGCTAGCAGGAAGCCTCGGAACCGAGATACTCTTGGCCGTCTTGCGAACTGCACGCGTGAAGATCTGCCGCCCGCTCTATGAGAACAAGTGTTACCCGCAGTGCGATTTATTTAGGCGAAAAAAAGAAACGGAAAGTAAAGAGCTAAACGCTAAACGAAATACAACCAGTCCAAAAGTAGCAGATACAGGCAAAAATAGGAAATATCTTAATTATCTCCTCTCCCGACCGACGAATCCCTCGTATCTCTCCGAGACTCCCGGCTTATCGATCCTTTCGTACCTCTTGTTGTCAACTATCTTATTGTCTTTAGGCCCTTTTACCCCGCACCCCTCCCTCTACGTCATGCATTTGTATAAAATCACAATTAAAGTGATCCTCGACTTTAAGAACTCGATGTAGCTCCTCCACCGCGGAGACTCCTCGATCCTCGACCGTGACGTCTCTAAATAAGTATATTTTGATAAACGTTTTTATCTCTCACTCGTTTTCAGGAAAACATAGATCTTGGGCGTAAATTTACACATTTGATTTTCGGAGGGGGGAAAAAAATATGGGATCGACGAGCATTCCGGTGGGGTCGTATTCTGCGGCGATCGTTTCGGTTTTCTCTAACGATGACCCACTACTTGGCCTGTTTTTCTCCGCTACGCCAGCAATCGATAGGCTCTTGTCGCGCGCGTACGTGTCGCACCTCGTCGCAGATGTTGCTGAACGATTAGCAATCGATCGCAGACACAGCGTAATTCAACATTGATAGATTTTATTCGTATACGATATTATGCCGATCATCCCCGCGCAATAGAGCTAGAGCAAAAGGACATCCTGATCGAGAAGCGTGTTGTTCGCGGAATTCCCGTCGACTTTTATTTATTGTATCAAATGAATGTGTATCAGACTTTTCCTCCGCCGGGAGTAGCGCGAACATTCGTACAACGATGCTAAGGGATGCTCCAAGGGAGATATTCATAGTTGTTTCTCTTAAAAAATTCATATCTGTATGTAAATAATATCTTATTTATGCGTGTAAATAAGAAAATCTTATTTATACGTGTAAATAAAAAAATCTTATTTATGGGTATAAATAAGAATTTCTGGTACGCATAAATGAATTTTTATTCAAAAAATGACTATGGATACTGTCTTAAATATACCGCAGAAAATATACCTGCAGATGAATTGTACTAGATATGCGTCATGATTTTTTTGCTCGATCATTAAATTAATGATCTCATCGATTGGCCGCTTCGCGTATCTCGATCGGAGCTCTATTCTTTTCTTTAAGACTCAAATAGATTAATTGGCAAAAAGCCGTGACGCGGTTCTTAAACAAAAAATAGCGGAAGAATACTTTTCGAGCGAGCAACTGTATATTCAATTTTGAAATCGGCGAATTTTGAACCATCATTAAACTTGAGAGCAGGCCTCATCTTCCGAAACGATTGTGTACATGTCACCGAAATAAGCACTATTCCATTATTTTTGACACATGCTTTTGTATAGAGCGTAAATTGGTAGCCTTAACGTGTTTTTAGCATGTTCGCGAAAGAGTATCGAGAAGACGTAGGCCGTGCTTAAGAAAAAAGAAGCGTTCACCAAAATCTTTCCCCAAATGGGAGGGGGTAAGCGTGCAGGTTCGATTGTATAAAAAAAAAAAAAAAGAAAGAAAATAATTTCCACAATGTCGTCTCCCGCTTTTACCGCAAAAAGAAAGAATTATATAATTGGACTTACATTAGACCCGGTAGGATGCGCCGATTCTGTATGGGAAACCTGAAGGTCGAACATTATCGTTAGAATATAGTAACGTAACGTAATCTTTTTATTAACGTAGGATTAATTCCGACATATAAAAAAAAAAGACGTGTTATAGTCTGTAATAATCGCACTTTCATTTCTTTTTTTGAGCGTAGACACTTGCTGTAAGTCTTTTTTTTTTTTCTTCTATTCTCCCATCTACGCCTTTGGTTTTTTTTGCTGAAAAACAACCGTGTTTTTTCATTAAAGATTATATAAATTATAACCACGATGATGCAAATAATAATGATACTGAATATAAGAGATATGTAATAACAATGTATTTGTGAAATTCACAAAAAAAACGACGTGTATTGCGTGTTTCTTTAATTACATCACACCGACTGCTCTCTCTCTCTCTCTCTCTCTCTCTCGCGATGTACCCTTTACCAGCAACTACAACCATCCCAACAAAAACCCATCGCCCCCTTTCCATCACGAAAGTTTTGATCGGGTACGATCGGACGCGCGCTGGCTTCCTGCGTCGCGCGCGCGTTTCCGTCTCGCGCTCGCTCAACAAAAATCCGTCAACATCTCGATCCGAAACGCGCACGGCGTTATTCGCTCGTGTTACTCTATTGTCATCCTTGTGCGCGCGCGTCTCGGAGACTTCAAGTCTGATAGTCTACAGGTAGAGTTCTGCGATGATCTCCATCGAACGACTCGAACCAATCTCTATTTTTCTATATTTTTATTTAATTACGATACAGTGCAATCTCTTTCTTTTTCTAATATTAATTTAATTAATGATAATATTAATAAATGGATTGATCAAGTTAATTATTATCCAATCTTCATTGATGCATGAATAATTAGATATTTTGCTCCGGACAGATGTTGCATTGTGTCACTCATTACGTTGGAAATTAGTGGCTCTTAAAATGTCAAGGACTACTTTACGTGTGCACAGTCCTGTTTTAACAATTGTTTTTTTTTTTTATTGTCATCCTTGTGCGCGCGCGTCTCGGAGACTTCAAGTCTGATAGTCTACAGGTAGAGTTCTGCGATGATCTCCATCGAACGACTCGAACCAATCTCTATTTTTCTATATTTTTATTTAATTACGATACAGTGCAATCTCTTTCTTTTTCTAATATTAATTTAATTAATGATAATATTAATAAATGGATTGATCAAGTTAATTATTATCCAATCTTTATTGATGCATGAATAATTAGATATTCTGCTCCGGACAGATGTTGCATTGTCTCACTCATTACGTTGGAAATTAGTGGCTCTTAAAATGTCAAGGATTACTTTACATTTACGTGTGCACAGTCCTGTTTTAACAATTGTCTTTTTTTTTTTTTCTCTCGATTCTGTCATGCAATTTTCTGTCAAAGTCTCATTCTATCTTTTATTTCCGCAAACATTTTACTCTCGATAGGGTGGGGAAAGTATAAACTATATTTTCGCGTTTGTTGAATACGCAATTGTGCTATTCGTTGTGTCGTTAATCGTTACTGGATTTTGTTTCTAATACATTTATATATGCCGATCGTTAATGAGAAATTTAAATTTGTCACGCAATGCATACCTAATGACAAAAAGGTTTCAGCATTCTGTGACGCATATATAAATATAAAAAGGTTCCGAAAATCTTGCTAGCCATACAGTTTCAGTGACAAATTTAGGAGATCGATTTTAATTATTTTATTAATATTTTTTATATTTATTTTGTATGATGCCTTCTTTTTCAAATATCTTAATATGGGAGGGTTTAATTATATAAATTTGAAATTTTTAAAACTGAAATTGAAAATAACTTGGATTTTTCTTAGTTTGCGTGTCTATATAGTTGAAAGGATATTTGGCTGTTTCGGGACATCCTTTGCAACATTTTTATGTTAGTACACTTGAATTGACAAAAGAAGCTTTTGAAAATCGGCAATCTTTTCCCTCAGATTCTCTTGGTTGTCTCTTGGAAATCAGTTTAAAAGCACATGGAAAGACTCTTGTAATCCGAATCTCTCTCACAAAGTTCTTCGAAGAATTTCTACATGATCTGTCATGTTTGCTCGCTACTTCTCATCGCGAACCACCCGCCCTATTCGTCTCGAACGTTAGTTGAGCAATATGCTTAACTAACATATCGCTGTCGATCTTTTTTTCATTTTTAAGATGGTCATAACTTCAGATGTATATTCCTTATATTCGACGAATCTGCTTCTTTTCTTTCTTTTCTGTCCCGTAATCTCTTGTGTCAGCCTTAATAGTCAATCAAAGAACAGGGATTGTAACACGTTATAGTTTTGTTAAAGCTTAGACTTTAATGTCGTAGAAATGACCGTTGATTGTAAGACGTATTTTCGTATTTATAATCTCTCCTATGGCATGGGAAAAAGTTTAAATCTCACCAAGATTATAACGACTTCGATCCCTGATTTCCTCTGCTATCTTTTCGCTGTTTTAAAGAAATAAAGGCTATCGTAACAAGATCCGTCGAACACTATGTAAAATCGTTCGTTGTATAACTGATGTTTTCAGAACAATTGGCACTGCGGATAAGATGGTTGCACACGAGCTAACGTATAGCGCGAATAAGTCGCTTCATCACGCATACACGGACATGGAATATTAATTCTCTCTCTATATATAAATATAAATGTGTGCATATTAAAACGGGAAAACATTGGAAAAGAAGATATCGGATTCAATAAGCCTGCTATATTCCCTCCTCGTGTTAGTAATATACGAGATGAGATCCTGTTTTATATGTCTGATGCATCATTCTACGTGTGTTTTTTGCAAGTTCTTATTTTTAATAAACTTTAAAAAATACGTGCGAACCGACATCTCCTTAAATTGTGACTGAGAATTCATCCCTCCTTCGGCTGGCTCTTTCGAACTAGGCTGAGTTTGTTCGTCAAAAGCGATTGTATCGTTTGTAGATTGAAACTCAAACTCGAGAAGAATAAGAAAAGCCTTCCGAGACTAATCTCTAAAATTATATACATTTGAAAATTTATAAATTTAAAAAGTATATTAAGACGTTATATAAATCGATCTATTATAATCTGATATAATTTTGAGATTACGTCGTTTTTCTTCCTTCTCGATTATCAAGTTGTTGTCTTTATTTTGTGAACGCAATGAAAGATTTGTGTCACTCTCTTCCATCGCAATTACATCTTTATATGATAGTGTGGTTATTGTTCTCTTGCATAAACTTTTGATCAAAGCCAAAGTTAAAGTATTGCTGTTTTCAGAAATATCACAGATGAAAACGGAAGTAAATGTAAATAGATGACGGAGTAAATGTTTCTTTTTTTCGTATTTCTTTTAATCCGATTTTTATCAGTATGTACATGGTAATGCTTATTGTGTTATGTGCCAGTCAAACTTGCAGACTCGGAGGTTGAGCAGGTCTACATAATCGGACTGGGCTGAAGAGACTCGCTTTTCTACCCGACCAACGACAGGCAGAGGCGCCCGGCCACGTTCTGTAACGTCTAATACGCAGTCACAGCCAAAGTGTGAATCCCCCCAGAAAGTTACTTTAAGAGACACCGTGCAGTGTCTTCAGAGATAACCGAGCAAGCCTCGTATCAGAGTGACGTTGGAACACGAACGTGTAGAACCAGGCGCACTACTCAATCATCTCTCCATACTGAGATGTGGTGAGCAGATTCCTGTCCGATAATAAGTAGACTATTCCGAACCGAGAAAGATCGGCCGATCTGCGTATTCTAAGTTGGCGCGAGAGAGGAGGTCGGACCTTCTCCCGTCGGCTCTGTTGCGCAAGAGTTGCGAGTTTGATCGGTACATAGCGAGCGGTGCGTCGATGCCGTGTTAACTTTGGCTTTATCGTATCAATGCACGCAATCTTTTCGCCAAGATCGGGAAACCCTTGGGCACACGATCATCGACGAGAACATATACAAAGGGTGCCTCAGAACCAAGCAAAATCCTTTAATTTAAGACTTGATAATTTATTAAAGAATCTAATATTTACATTTACTTAAAAACTTAAGAAGATTAAATTCGAAAGCTTTCAGAAATATTAAATTTTTTATGTATTTAAATAAATAAAATGACAGTTAAATGATGGAGCTCTCTTCAGAAAACTGGTTTTGAGACAATCTTGTTTTATATATTCTAAAGTCCCTTTTTCCCTCTTTTTTTTTTTTTAATTTTTCTGAACATTCTCTTTTGAGGGATATTCCCTTCTCTCTAGAATATACCGCTTACAATTAGATCAACCCCCGATCCACGATACTGAATCACGCGCGTATGGTACACGCGTGCGAGAGTCACATACATGTCGTGCGGGAAAAAAAAGATTCGGGAAACACATGGAGACTCATGCACACCGGAGAGCTTCGTCGGATATATTCGATACGCGACGTATCGGCTGTAATGCAAGCACTCTCGAGGATTACGGTAACATCGGTGCTGGACTTGATCGTCGGATAGCGAAGGTCTGTCCGATGATTGCAGTCCTCGCTCTATACGTAGCCCATACGTGGACGTGCGAGATTCCGGCGGTTCGTCGTCGGCATCGTCTTCGTCTCGTCATCATCGTCGTCGCCGTCGTCGTCGTCGTCGTCGTCGTCGTCTATAAAATCACGCAGCCGAGTTGCAAACGGTTCGGGACACACGCTGGCCGAGAAGCTCGACGAGATGAGAAGTTCCGAGTCCAGTCTCTTGTAGCTGAGATATATCGCTGAGATATATCTCTCGGATACGCCGGCACAGACCCTCGCAGGCACTTAGAAAAAAAAAGTACCCGGTCCCTCGGCAGAGTTCTCACTAGAGACCGTGAATCGCCGATCGGATCCGTGCACGGATTTTTAAGAGAGTCTGCACAAGAACTCGAGAAAAAAAATATGTAGAACGGACACGTCGGGACACGGGTTATCCCTTGACCTCGCGTGATAAAAAAACGGAAAGCGAACACACATACACACGTGTCGGTCGACAAAAAAAAAAAAAAAAAGCGCAAAACCGATAGAAACCGCGCCGGCAAGAATTTTAACACGTTGTAATATGATATATGATATAGGACACGATGATAGCCCTCTACACCGACAACGTCCACGATGGATGTACATCGAAGGAGCCAAGAAGAGCGAGCCAGGCTCGAGAGAAGAGAGCTTCGAGAGTAGAAACGGCAAGAGAGGTCTGATGGAGAAGCGACATGGTGTGAGAGGTAATTGTTCAACACTCTGTACCACGTTGAAAGACACCGCGAGAGAGACAGAGACACGGAGAGGGAGTAAGATTCCATTCGGATAAAGACGAAACTGTATTACCGCATCCAAGGCAAGTCCACATCCCTACACAGCCACTCGGTATCGTTCCGATACGCGTAAAAGAAAACGAATAAAAAAAAATTTTTTAAAAGGAATAAAAACGACACGTTAATTTCCCCCCGTCTTCCATCCGAACGCCTTTGAGAGTCATGTTTTCTTTCTTAGGAGAAGCGGTACTTCTTAAGGGAGAGTCCCATTTCCGCGAGATGCGAGGAGAATCTTCTATAAAGTGAGGGACAAAGCCGAGAGATCGACATGTGCTACAACGTGCTCACGAGTCGAATATCGCCCTAGAGCGAAAGTCTCTCTACTCGGCGGGAGCACGAAGGTATCGTAAGAACGAATATTTTCCTCGCGCTGCCTGTAATGATTTCTAAAATCCGGAGGAGGATAACGGATGTTCGATATAAAATACTCTTAATAAATGATAACGCAATTGGATTATCGCGATACCATCAATCGCGTTTATACATTTTTGTTCACTCTTGCTAAGATTAAACTACTATTATTTCAATTTATAATCCTACATTTTTGTAGCAAAAATATATCTTTCGATAGTTGATCAAGTTTCAAAGCAATTTATTAATTCAAGAATTGAGAAATCTCTTTGGAATTATTTATTAATTTATACTATCAAGTACAAATAGTGATATGCGGAAGAATTAATTTATTTTCCACGTTAAATACAAGATAAAAATTTACATAATTTCTTAGGAACAGTTTGCTTCATAATTTGGATATATATTTTCATATATGATATTTTAATAGTAATAGTTATCAAATATAAAAATGCGTAAGCGTATATAATGGTGAGTAGCCTTTATAATAAGCTTTACAGGTAAGATTCTAAAGCTCTCTGTTGTTTAGTCATAGAATCATCGCGAAAAATTAAAATAGCGTGATAAGTAACTTGTGTGTAAAATATGTGTTACAGGATTTCACTGCGTTTTTAACCATATAAAAACTTTCAAAGACTAGTCACAGAAATATTCGCCATGTAATTGAGCAATAAATATTTTACTTAATTCCATAAGAGCTCATCAACTGTTTTACTTAAATCTTTGAGTCTTAAACAAGATCTATTTTATCACACAATTGTATGCTATATCGCAAAGTATTGAGAGATGAAAAGAAAAGAATGGGAATTCTTCCCATTTACTCATGAATTTTTCTTGTATTCGCTATTCGAAGTTATATAATTTGATAATCAAACTGTGACCCAAGTAAATTATCTTGCATACTTGATTTTTTTTTCTTTATTTTTTTCTATTTTTTTAGTCAATGTATATGTTTCAAATTCATACATGTAGAAAATAATTTATTTCTCATTGTTATTTTATCTCTTGTATTATATATACATTTCTAGGTCTTCTTTATGGCTAAATTATATATTTTTTTTCATTCTAAAGCTGAATACGTATATTGACATCATTCTAACAATAAGTATAAAAGATACAAAATACGTAGCTAAGAAGATAATTCTATTGAAACGGATACGCGAGGAATTCGATTTACATGCATTATATAAGCTAGGAATAATTATTCTTAATGAACATCGTTGAGTGTTGTAAATCGGAAATTATATGTATATTTAGATGGCTTAATTTATATACGGTAATTTCATAATTTCTCTGTTAATGTCTTCGTTTTTTCCTCTCTCTCTCTCTCTCTCGATAAGTTATCGCGATGTGGCAATAGCGATAACATTATATGCTTAGAGGTGAAGGATAGAGTATCTTTTTTAGTAACAGCGTGTAAAACCAAATCGCTGCCATTGGATCCTTTGTCATTCTGAAGGAAACGTCGGTGGCGCGCCTTTGCAACCCGTCGCAGCAGACCATCCTGGTTGTATTTCAGCGCATTCCCTCGTGATCGTACGAGAATACAAGCACCGCACAAATGGCTGAAGACTTACGGTAAGTGAAAAAATATCTCCTCGCGCACAATTAAGCGTTCCCTATTTTCTCCTCTCGCGATCTGTCGGCTATCGCGCAGTTGGAGAGTGCAAATCTATTTTTTTCCTCTGGAGTTATGACGAGATTTCGAAGTGTCAAGGTTATGTGTATCGCGATGTGAATCGATCAATGAGACCGATAACAAAAACCGCATTATTTTTAATGATGGTAAATAATTATTTGTAAAGAACGTGCTTTTTTTGATTTAGTAAACGCGGATAATTAATTTTATATTCAATATAAAATTAAACCGCGGGAAATGGGATATAGGTTATGTAATTCTTAAAGCAGATTCTTATCGGCACGATTTCATCATATGTGTGCGCGCGAAATTCAATTTGTGAATTATTTTAGATTGATAAAAAACCGACACCGGAATTCGATATACATACATATATATGTGTGTGTGTATATTTGATATCTTATTAATAATCTTGTGGGTACTTTTATCAATCAAGCCTGTATCAAGTTGATTAAAGAATAATAATAATAATAATTACAATCATATGTAATTTTATTTTATTTTTTTATTGAATTTCATATTAATAAAATTTTATAAAATATATTATATAGAGAAACTCTAATATGTGGTATAAAAATATTTTATTAATACATAATTTATTTCAGAGAAGGATTACTATTGGGCATGGGAAATCCTCTTCTTGATATTTCAGCAACTGTAGATTCTGAATTTTTAAAAAAGTATGATTTAAAGCCTAATAATGCTATTCTCGCCGAGGAGAAGCACAAACCTATATATGAGGAATTAATCGACTTGTACAAAGCTAACTTTATTGCGGGTGGATCTGTACAGAATACCATGAGAGTAACACAAGTAAGTGGTACTTTTAATTACTTAGAATTATTATTTATAAGTATTGACAAATTTATTTCAACAAGAGAAGCAAAATTCAAAATTGCAAAACAATATGTAATTAGTATTTGTGTTGTGCAGTGGTTCCTGCAAAAACCAAAAGTTGCCACTTATATGGGCTGTGTTGGAAAAGATAAATATTCAAAGATTCTAGAGGATAAAGCAACTACGGATGGTTTAAATGTTCGGTATCAATATACTGATCAGGAACCAACTGGGACGTGTGCAGTGCTTATTACAGGAAAAGAACGCTCCTTGTGTGCTAATTTAGCAGCAGCAAATTGTTTCTCACCATTGCACATTGAAAAGCCAGAGAACAAGCACTTGATAGATATTGCAAATTATATCTACATATCGGTAAGTGTAGAAATTTCCTGATATTATACGAGTAAAAAAGGTATACAATCATAAAATGCTATACTACATAATAAATTCCACATTTTTTATTCTAGGGATTTTTTTTGACAGTTAGCTCAGAATCCATACAAACAGTGGCTAAACATGCTTATGAAAATAATAAAATGTTCATGATGAATCTTAGTGCTCCATTTCTGTGCGAATTTTTTCAAAAGCCAATGTTAGCTGTATTTCCCTATGTGGATATCTTATTTGGTAATGAGACAGAAGCGGATGCATTCGCTAAGAACAACAATTTTAATGTAACAGATAGGAAGCAGATTGCACTGAAAATATCAAATATGGAGAAAATCAATGACAAAAGGAAAAGGATAGTTATCATAACACAAGGTGCTAAAGCAGTACTTTTAGCCAAAGATGGAACAGTAACAGAATATCCCATCATAAAACTGCCAGAGGATAAAGTTGTAGATACCAATGGTGCTGGAGATGCTTTTGTTGGAGGTGAGTATAGAGGAAGTGTAACTTTTTATTACATCACAACAGCTAGAAAGATACTTATTACTAATACAAAACATTGTTTCAGGTTTTATTGCACAACTTATACAAGATAAAGATATAGAAACGTGTATAAAATGTGGCATTTGGGCGGCAACGCAAATTGTACAAAGATCCGGATGTACTTACGAGGGAAAGCCGAATTTCCAGTCTTGATCAACGTCAACTTAGCAGCAAGTTAGAAATTGTGTACTTAATAAACATTTTGACCTTTTTTTTTACCTGAATCTTTCCCCATCTTTTCTATAAAACTTGTAGTACAAATACAATTATAGCATTAATTATATTTTTAGCAAAATGTAAAAGTTTAATTAATTTTAATTTAACGAGTTATTTAAAAAAACAATAATTATACATATTTATAAGAAACCAGATTGTCCGATTTGACAAGCTATAAATCGTTTGTTGAGAAGCATAAACTGCGCAGAAATTCTCGTTTGCCGCGTACTTACATTGCGACTCGCTAATTTACATATTGTCGAGAAAATCAATACAATCAACGGGTATGTAGATATTACGGAGAATTTGCTGGTTAGCTTCGCATACGCGCGGCCACTGGTCGGATGATATCGTCTGGGAGTGTAGCATATTCAATTATGCGAGATGTTGCACGCGTGCGTCGTGCGCGGCCGAACTGCGGAGTTTAGAGCAGGATAGAGGCTCATCGACCTGCAGAAACAGACGGAGAGAGAAGCGGAGAAAGATGGAGGATAAACGGTCGCCGAAAAGAGAGGGGGAGACGACGACGATCCTTAAAAAAAAAATCAATAATCTGATTACGAAACTGCATAGAATATACCGTGCGTTTTGCGTATAAACGGCAAAGAGGTAACACACGTCACTCACCCCACGGCAGTATCGTACATAATTAAATCGGTACCTTTTACATTATTATATCACATAAATAATATTTTTCAGCTCATAATCCGTCCAATTACAACGACATCAGTACTGATTTTTTTCGCGAATTAATTATATCTCTTCGCCTCTCTTAACGATAAATATGAAGAAATGTAGACATATATAATACATGTTAATTAAAACGATACTATACACAAATTGTTCAATTCGTCTGCGATCTATATACATTTGTATGTATTTGCAATTGATTATTTTTGCTCGCATACATACATTCGCGTATTTTCTATATTTCGATTAAGATAAAGTACAGCTGAAAAAAAAAAAAAAATCAAATATATTCCAGCGACAGGGTACGGTCCTGACGCATCTCGTTCACAAAGCTCTCTCAACTGCGTTACGTGGCATCGTCGGGCGCACGCCTGTCGCCTCGACAACCCAATTGGGTAGAAGCGGTTAAAACGGGTGCAAAAGGCGGGTGGCCATATAGTCGTGCCGGGCCGGCGCTGGTCGAACTCTGTATGTGTCGTTGCGCCTCACGATCGGCCTCGTTTCTTCGCCGCGCATCATACAACACGCATCACCGGGTGCCGCGATCGCAGTTACATATATTTATATATATATATGTATGTGTGCACACCCACACACATTTACAAATTTGTATCTCGCGCGAGGCGCACGCATGTATATACGTGAAGCGCGACACCTGTAACGGGTGACGTGTATATATGTACGTGTACAGTCGGGTGCGTTAACGTTCAACGCACTTTATATACGAATGTAAAAATTTTTTTTTTTATAATTGATTCGACGCGCTTCATGCTTGTGGAGCATGAGAAGGAAACGGATGCTCGCGAAAATATTCTTGCGATTGCGAACGCTTCGTTCTTCTTCTTTATTTTAATCGATACTCATGCTTGGGTTGAAATACGGTACTTTTTTCACCTCGGATAGATGTCATTGTCCCGTATATTATTCGCAATGTCTCCGTCGCGTTACCGCGTGACTTTAGATGACACTCGTTCGCAACGTATGTATATGTACATATACGAGCACGTTGAATTTTGCGGGTACACCGCTAACGCACCCGATTGTACGAATATATATATATATATATATATATATACAGGCGCGCGCGACATATGCACGCACTAATTTAACCGTACACCATTTAGCGCGTACGTATGTACATATATAACAAGCACGATTCCCGCCGTTTCCGCGTGTGCGTTGGACAGCCCGATATGACGCACGTGTGCTAGGAGCGGGAGAGTGTGTTGGTGCGCGAGCGGCGAGCGGGACGCCGGGCCGGTGATTGGTCGAGGGGAATGCGTGCCGCTACGGCGTTCCGTGTTTCGTGCTTCCGCCGGAGAGCGCGCAGTGTGCGCCAGTGCGCTCCCCACCGCGTGTGCGTAGTGTGTAACCCCCGCGCGGCCGCCATCTTTGTCAAGTGGGTAACTTTTGTTGATTTGTGTGAAATGTGACGCCGTTGTCGCGAGATAATTGGTGATCGTGATTACGTATCCCAGTGCGTCGATACCCAGTGGATCTGTTACCCGCGCCGTCTTGTGTGGATTTATCGATGGGATTGCCGTGTTCAGGTAACGTCCGCCCGCTGGGCATTGCGAGATCGCTGCGTGGAAAAACCACGCGAATCGTCGCCGTCGTCGTCGTCGTCGTCGTCGTCGTCGTCGGCCGACGCATACGGGGCCGGAGAACGGTGCTGATACGGCCACTTGGCGTGAGAAAGCAAGCGAGAGAGAGAGAGAGAGAAAGAGCGTGGGAGAGGTGGAGAAAAAAAGACAGAGGACATTCTTGCACGCGGTATACATACATACAACATTGACGCGGCATAACATTCGCTCGGTTTTTTCTCTCTTTTTTTTTTTTCCTCTCTTGACGGATCGTGACGGGACGAGACGATTCGCGAGTGTCGCGAAAACGCGCGAGTCCCCGACGCGGACGCGACGACGCCGTCGTCGTAAACGCGGAAACGTGCCCGGACGGCACGTGAGGGAAACCCGCGGACGAAACGGAGACCCGAGAAGAGCGGCCCGTGTCTCTGCTCCAAGATGGCTGCCCGTCGCACGGTGCTTGGACAGCCCGCGCCCGCTCGTCGTGTCTCATCCGCGTCGGATCACGCGCCACCAGCGTCGACGTGCGGATCGAGGTGCGCTCTCGGCGGGGCCCTATCGCGGGCAACGGCTGATCCGTGACGGTTTACGTTCTACGGGAACGACAATTCGACGGGCGCCTTGACGGTTGCTCTCGTGGCCCGTCGGAATATCACCGTCGGCGTCGCGTTCGGTGCCGTCGAGCCGCCGACGGAGAATCGACGTCGTTGTCGTCGACCGGTGGACGCGTCGACGCTGCAATTATCGGGAGCGGCTTTAACGCGGTTACGGCTCCGCCGTGCATCCTGCTCGAGAGTATTCCCTCAAAATGGCTACCCGTCGGACGGCGGTGTGCCGCATAACGCGCGATTCCCGCGACCGTTGCCTTTTATCGCTCTCCGTGATTTTCCATCGCGCGCGCCAAATTCGCGTTCCCGTCACGACCGATCGATCGGTCCGACCGTCCGTCCGTCCGTCCGTCCGTCCGTTCATCCATCCATCCATCCATCCATCCATCTGTCCAACCGTCCGTACGCTTTTGTCTCTCTTTCTCGCGCTCTCCCGTTTTTTTCTTCCTTTTTTTTTTCTTTTCCACCTTTTCGTGTCGCCTCGGTCACTCCGCCGAGGCGAACGCACGGATGGTAAAATGCACGCTTCTCGCGCGTGCACGCTTCGCCGAGCGACGGACGGCAGCAGTTAGAAGAATCGTTGACGACAAATCGCTCCTCGGTAGCGACGGCAGCGGCAGCTGGCTCGTTCTCTCTCTCTCTCTCTCGCGTGCTCTCTCGCTCTTTCTGTCTCTGTTTTTCTCCGCGTCTTCACCTTGCTATTGCCGTCACTCGCTCGCCTGTTCGTTCGTTCGTTCGTTCGTCCGTTCGTCCGTTCGTTCCTTCGTTCGTTCATTCGCTCGCTCGCTCGCTCGCTCGCTCTGGGTGAGAGGGGCCCCGACAAACACGCGCAGCCGGTGGCCTCTCTTCGCCCTCGGCCCCATCGTCTTAACCGGACGAACGACGGACAAATAGACGGACGTGTTCGTTCAGCCGGTATTTCATTTCGCCTAATAAGATAGTAGCGCGCGAGCGGAGAAAGACGTACGGCGCGATGGTGTAAGAGAGCGAAAAGCGCGCCCGTGACTTGTCCGCTCTCTTTTCTCCTCTCTCCGTCTTTCTCGTTTTACGCGACGATTAATCCTTGACTCTCGCGCCTATATACTCTGTGAGAATCTCATCATTTTCCCATTCAAAATATGTGTTTTTAAATGTGTATTTGAAACTGGAAAGGCTCTTTACGTTGATTTCCTTATTTCGTGCTGTCACGAAATATCGTTTATCGTAATCTAAACTCGTGGAAATCGGGGAGAGATATGACGACATCTCCCTTTGATATTAGTGATACTGTCGCGAAAATTCTGTTACTCTCGCTGTATAGTTAATACATTCGAGAAACACGTGGTTTTCGAAGTTAGTTTACTTCGCTGTTTATATATAAATGTCAACGTCATCGCGAAATCCTTTTTACCCCAGTCAAAAGGAGAGACGGTCGTCAATGAGATATTAAAAGTTGCACCGCGTAGTAAAGATGCGAGTACTATGGTATCTCTCATTGAAGCCACGATAAAGCTGCGACGATAAACGAGCAGCGTTCCATTGACGTTTCCGTTCGTAACACGCGACGCGAGGATCAGTTTCTCTCGTTGCTTGACATGCGTTTTTAACCTTTGCACTTTGTGCTGTCTATTTGAAAGGCTTCCAATTCTTCAGCTGCGTTTCTCCTTTCTAAATTGTATTTAATCTCTAAGATCTCTCTCTTTCTCCCTCTCATGCGCACGTACATATGCAGTGTAAAAAATATAAAGAAAACAATCTTCAATCAATTGGATAAACAGATTTTATAATTCCAATTAGTACTAATCAATTAATCGTTGAAATATGAATTAATAATTCGTGTTTTGCTTTTATAATGACTCTATCGTAAAATAGATAGAGCAATAAATTTGAAATAATAGATAACTAGCGTTAATCGGCGGAGAGCCTTGAAGTGCAAACGGTTATGAGTGCATCCCCGAATTACGTCATATTGCGTCATTCTTCCGGCCATAATTATATGAATCGCACAACTGGTTTTTCTTTATTTTTTTTTTATCGCGTTTGTCATGGAGAAACTCAAAGAGATTAGAGTTAACGTAATTTATAAAAAATACATGCTACAGAATGTGTCTCTTAAAATAATTGAGCTTTATTTTATTAATTTTTATA